CAGACCCTGGAATGTGACATCAAAGTGTGGACATTTCACGGGAAAGCCAGGCCACTGCTCTGTAGGAGGCTCGGGAGGTGGCAGGTGGCCGCAGTTTTGCAGCTGCCAAGCGTAGTGCCCTTCAGAGGCTGGCACGGGCGTCCTGTGCAGGGAGGTGAGGTGATCCTGACCCTCCTGGTGGGAAACACACTCCCCCGTGAACACCTTGAAGCAGGGCTTCCTGTCTGTAAGACATTCCCAGTGAAAGTCCACGTAAGGAAACCACGCCCACAGGCACAGTTGCTATGACGCGATCTGAGCCGCGGTGAGGACATGCCGGGGCAACATCTCAGCAGGTTGACAAACCGCTCCGTACAAGACAGTTTTGCTATTTATTTTATGCTTTGGAATCAAAGGAGAGAGCGGAAGGAAGGCACAGGACATCCGTGGGTGGTAGGAGGAAGCCAAGCAGAAATCGCTGGGATGGGATACAAAGCAAAACGGAGAGGCTCGGGCTTCTCACTGGTGGGAGCAGGAGAGTTGACGTTTAGCATTTACAGCGCACAGGTGATGGTATCTGGGCAGCAGATAACAGGAGGCCCGAGGTCTCCGGCCCGGTGCCCGCAGTTGTGCCTTCTCAGGGTCTGGAAAAGAAAATTACTCTGACATTTCAAAGGTATGCTATCGTAGGTGCGTGAGCACAGATGACAGGGCTCCTTAAGGCAAACACTGACCTTTTACTAAGGAAGCTCCAGCCTGGGACGCGACTGCCCCCGATGGCAACCCAGTTAGGAATTTATGATCGGACCATGCTGTGTGGTCACTCTCTGTCTCTGGCCTCATCAGGCCTGCCAAGTAGCCCCCTGAGCTTGTCGGGTCTGCTATGTCACCCTGTTTTCATTCACCTGGGGTACCTAGAGGGACAGATGAAAACACCCAGTGCCCCTGCCCCACCCCTGCCCTGCACAGGCCGGGAGGACTGCAGAGTGGTGTTCTCCCGCCCAAGACCACACACTTCACATTGACAACCATTCCACACCAACTGAGGAAGCCCTCTGAGGGTGCAGGTGGCGCATGAGTCTTCAGTGCGTGACCTCTGCTTTTTTTAAAGTAAACTTTTTACTGAAGTGTAATGAGCACGCATGAACCTAAGAAAGCCACTAACAACTTTTCAAAAATTGTTTTGTCAATATGCAGTATTTACGTTTTTCTATTTTTAAATGTGACCTCAAAATAATTTTTTCTTAGGGTTGAAATTCGTTTTCAAAAATGACAGCAGCCTTTTTAAAAATTATAAAGCAATATCAACTCATTTTAGAAATATCTGAAATAAAGACAAGTATAAAAAATAGTATGTCATCATGTTGTACACCTGGGACGAGCACAGTGTTATATGTCAATCAAACCTGCATTAAAAAAAAAAGAGGAAGATGGTAGAAATCAAAGTAATCACTCAGGTGGTGGGGCCCAAGGGTGTTAGAATGTAAAGAACCAGGCAGAGGAGGTCAGGGCTTCTGATCCAACTAAGTAACCCTACGTCTGGTTGAAACAATCAGGAAAGTTGTTGAAGTTAAAGTTTCTCCTCATTCCAGGTATTAGAATTCCAGAAAGAAATATTTGGAAGACTTCTGAGTGATGTTTATGTTTATAACCAGTGATGACTAATCTACTTTGCATGGAGTTTAGTTAAAGAACATGAGGTTTTGAGGCCCATTTTCTTCATAGGCTCCCTAAAGGGAGAGGACTAGGGACTTTAACTTCATAAATGGACATTAGTGGTTGTTTCCTCAATAGACTTATATTATTGCAAATATGGTAAAGAAAGAGACATGGCTCCTCACGTCAGAGAAGCAGCATTTGAATGTGAAACTCTTGCTGGGAATGACGGGGTTCTTTCATTATGATGATGGACTGGCTGTACTATTTTGAAATATGTCAACAAATTCTGTGAAACTCTTCCCCCTAAAGGTTTGGCCCAACTCCCCCACAGCTGAGCATGCACAGGCTAAAGTGACTCACTCACTCATAACATACAGAATGAGGTGAAAGTGACGCAGTGTGACCGCTGACACCTGGTCCTAGGAACATGGCAGCTCTTGCTTGCTTTCTCTCATGATCACTCACTCGGGGGGGAGGCCACTGCAATGTTGTCAGGTGATCAAATGTCCCATCCAGCCAAGCCACCCCCCAGACACTAAGTAGGATAATGCTGCATATGGTTCCAGTAACTGAGTTTTGAGTAACTGCTTGTGTGGCAATAAGTAACAGACACACTGCCCATCGCCCTGAACAATCCACACAGAACCAGACACACCCACAGCGAGGGCCCAGAAGAAACACTGCAGGTAGCATGTTGTGTCAGGAAATGGCCTACATTGGGATTGTGGCATTCCTTCTTTTGCTGTCTCCCTGATTCTGTATCTGCGGGGCACACATACAGATAAACACAGAAGTCAGAAGTCAGACGAGAAGACAACCATATTCGTTCATTCATCCATCAGTAAACACTTTCTGAGAATCTGATGTGTGCCTAGACACATTTCCTTTTGAACTACAATTTAAAATAGCTGTATTGAATCTGAGGTGGGTAAGGGGTATCAATTTTCTTACAGCTTCCATTTCCTGCTTTATTGACCAGCCAAATTGTCCCTAGGTGGATATTCAGGCTGCTTTTTCGTCCCTAAACAGATATTCTAGGCTGAGCAGTACCTCAGAGAGAGAAGCCATGCCATCTGTCAACCACTACCTGGCAGAGGGTCCCCCTTGATGTCAGCACAAGGGGCTCTGTCAACAGCCTTCAAACCCCAGAGGTGAGCATCTGATGGAAGAATGCATGACCTGCCGAGGCCACCAGGAGCTGAGGTGGAGCTGGTCACCTTCAGTGTGACAGCCTGGGGCCCCAGGTTTCCTTTGTGGGGGTGCTTCCCCATCTGTCTGCTATGTGTGACCTGAAGGCCGCCTGGGTGCTCTTTGGGCTCCACAGAGGAGCAGGGCCTGGCAGACCCCCACCCTCCCCTTTAAACATTGTGCTTCTAGTAACATTTCATTTATGCGAAGGTTTCTGTGGACTGGATGTGGGCGAGATGGTTCAATCCCCTCTGTGCTGCTACCTGTCCTTCTAACGGCACACCCTGCATCGGAATCACACCGTGCACAGAGTGTGCAGGAAGGACAGGCCTGAGCACACGGCTGTAAGGCAGGGCATGAAAAGTGCTTCTCCGTCCAAAATACCGACTCCTTGGTGCTGGGCTGACTAAGGACCCCCATGAGGTCACATCCTAGTCCCTGGCACTTGAGAATGAGACCTGATATGGCTGCAGGGACTTTGCAGAAGTGACTAAGTTGAAGATGTTGGGATGGGGATCCTGGGTGACCCAGGGGTGCCCTAAATGTAACCATCAGTGCCCTTATAAGGGGGAGCAGAGGGATATTTGACAGTCGCACAGGGGAGGTGATGTGACCACGAAGTACACATAGACTGGAGTGCTGAAGCCAGGAGCCAGAGAAGGCCTCCGCCTCCAGAAGTAGAAGAGGAGGGGGTCCTCCAAGGGGCCTGGAAGGAACCAGCCTTGCCAACAGCTGGACTTCAGCCCAGTGACCCTGATTGCAGACCTCTGTCCCCACATCTGGCTGAGGAGAGAGTGTTGCTTTAGGCCACTGAGTCTGTGGTGATTCATTACAGCAGCCCCAGGGAACTAAGACACTCCCTCTGGCTAGTGTCACCTATTCAAGGATCGTCCCTCAGGCACAGGGGTGTGGTGGAGTCCCCACCTAGCCCACCAGCAGATCTTGTGACAGCTGCCCAAATGGGCTGAAATTCAATTGCCATCTTCCTTTTTTACTTCTGCCTTTTTTACCCCTTGGTGGAGAACCTTTACTGATCCCTCTGCTTCCTCAGTTTGGTGTCCCCTCCCACCTCATCTCAGACCAGAGCAACTATAAAAAACAATTCAGCATTAAATGTAGAGATGATCAAGTAAATCAAACTAAACATTTAGTACCTTGTGTTATGTTCTGGTTTTGCATCTGTTGAGAATATGTATGTGTGTACATACGCATACACATGCACGCATACATATTTTCTTTTCGATCAACTTTGTCAGCTTGTAAGTAACACATGATAAAATAAATGTAATTTAAGGAGCAGTTTAATGAATTTTGAAAACTGTCTACACTATGTCTCCACCAGCACAGTTGTGATACAAACTGATCTCACCGATATGTTTCCTGTTGTTTTTTGTGGTCAGTCCTTCCTTAACCTGACCCCAGGCCATCCCGCACCTACGTTCTGTCTGTGTCACCTCTCGGAATACTGGATAGGTAATAAGTTCATGATATTTAAGAGAGTCTGGCATATTAAGGCATCTGGCAAAACAGGTTTTAACTCTATGTGAACTGTGTAATTAATTTTAGACTTGCAGTTAAGAACATTTGACTGAGTTTGTGGACGATATTGTAATATAAACAGTAAATTTAAAGATCCTGTAATTTTGATGCATTAGATTTTTTTAAGAAGTTGTTACAAATGGCAGAAGAAAAAACTTAAAAGAAAAAGTTTCAGAAAAAGGATTTTACTCAGTAAGACTAAAGAAGTAAAGAAAGTAATAATGGGGGGGGGCTAAACTAAAGGAACACGTAATCTTATTAGATTAATTTTTTAAAGGGTGTTTGAATTGTATTCATAGTTCTTAGCCTAAGTGTTTTTGTATGAGAAATCTATGATCTAGTACTTACTTAAAGGTCAAAGAAAGCCATGGAATAGCAGAATATTCTGGTTTGCTCTTTTAATTTCTTTGTCTTCTCTTTTCTTTTCTAGGTTAAGGTATCTTTTTGTCAATTTTATGGAAATAAAGAATAACATAGTAAAACAAAGTTTAAACAGGAGAAAGTGACCGGTTCTATCAGCAATAATTTAGAATTTAAAAAATGGACTTGGTCACTGTGAATTTAGTCACGTGTGACCTTTTTTCACAGACTATGTGCAGTGCCAACTGGATGATAGTACTGGTGGCTGTAGCCTACTACGAGGGGGGTGGGCTCACACCCCCAGGGTTGGTGGCCCTCATCCTGAATTCAGGGGTGCCTGGGGTAACAGAGTTGGTCATGCCCTTTTTAAGCTTCTTCCAGCCGAGGTGGTAGAGCTCCAGCACATTGAGAAGGAGGGACAGGCTGGCCACCGCCAGCATGAAGATGATGAAGATGGTCTTCTCTGTGGGCCTGGAGATGAAGCAGTCCACGGTGTTGGGGCAGGGCGACCGGTCACAGGTATACTTTGGCTTCAACTGAAAGCCATACAAATAGTACTGTCCAACGATGAAGCCCACCTCAAACAGCATCTTAAAGATGATGCTGAAGACGTAGGTCCCGAGCAAGGCCCCGGAAATGCGGACCTTGCCTCGGTCGTCCCTCACCAGGGCCCTGTCCTGGCCATGGTCACTGTCTCCCTTCAGCTGCTCTTCACCACGCTCTTTCTTTTTCTGTTCCCTGCGCACGATATGCAGCACGTGCCCCAGGTAGATGAGGGTGGGCGTGGACACGAAGATTATCTGGAGCACCCAGAAGCGTGTGTGGGAGATGGGGAAGGCCTTATCGTAGCAGACGTTCTCACAGCCGGGCTGCTGTGTGTTGCAGGTGAAGTCTGACTGCTCATCTCCCCACACCTCCTCCACCCCAGCCCCCAGCACCAGGATTCTGAAGATGAACAGGACTGTCAGCCAGACCTTGCCGATGACGGTAGAGTGCTCCTGTGTGGCATCCAATAGTCTCCCCAGAAGGCTCCAGTCACCCATTGCTCAGACTGCCAGCCTGTAAGAGGACACGCTTGTTAATAGGCAGGTGAAACAAGTAAGCTGTAGTGGAACCGCCCAGAGGGGCAGGTGTCCTTGTGCATGGGGGTTGGAAGATGTCATTAGGTGGCTGTCCTCTGACTTACAACGTGGGCTGTGCTGCGGAGTGCTCTGGGGGCATGTGTGTACATGTGTGCATGCATGCACGTACAGCTGTATCCTTGACAATGTGCGTGTACATGTGTGAACATGTGTGAGTGTGATGGTGTACATGTGTGTATTGTACATGTGTGCCTGTGAAAACGTACCATGTGCACATACATGTCTGTACATGTGTGTCTGTGTGTCTGGACATGTTATGTCCATGTGTGTGCACGTGTGTGTATGCATGTGTGTCTGGTTGCCCGTACATGTGTGTACACTCATGCCTCTCCATGTATGTATTGTGCATGTACATGTGTGAGCCTATGTGTGTGGATGTACCTGAGTCCATGGATGTATGTCATGTATTTACATTTTGTGTAAATATATATGCATGTGCATACATCATGCACTTGCACACATGCCTTTATGTGTGCCCATGCATGTGTACCTATATGTACATGTGTATTATGTGTATGGGCATGTAGATGTGTGTACATGTGTGTACATGTATACATGTATAAGTGAGTGCATGTGTACCTATATGTACATGTACATTTGTGTGCGTGTGTGTGTGCATTGTGTGTACCTATCTGTGTGTGTCTGTACATGTCTTCCACTACCATACCATACAGGGTTAAATCAAGGTCTACATATGACTATGGTAGTCAGGTATATTACCTAACACAAGTGGGACAGAAATGCGACAAGCACAGGTCACTTAACTCACTTTAAAGAAACAGAGACCAAGAAAGAGAGGTGACCTGCCTAAGGGACATGGACCTCTCCCCGCCTTTGAAGGCGGCCCTGGTCCCTTCCAGGCACTGTCTCTCCAGGAGCTCTGGGGCTGCATGTGCAGCGGGCCAGTTCCCAATCTCACCCTTCCTGTTCATGTGAGGTTAAAGTAGCTTTCTCCCCAAGTGCCGCCATGCCCATGCCGCCATCACACCTCCGCCATTTTAACCTGTTACCTCCTCCATCACTGACTTTCTCTTTCACTTGGCACA